CTAACATTTTTCCTGTCGTCTACAGAAAAATGTCGGGACAGAGGCTGATCTTTACTTCCCAGGATGGCTGGAACCTCACATTAAATGAGGAGATGGCGTCGCGGGGCGGTACCATAGAATTCAACGTGGATTTCAACCAGGTTGACATGGACTATGAAGGTCCTCTAATGGACGTAGTCAGCTGCAAAGAGAAAGAAAGATTGCCTTCACTACTGAGGGTGACCGCGAAAGATAATGTATCACGCAAGGGCAAGAACATGATAACAGAGCAAGATCCGATGGAGGGGCCCAACCGTCTGCCCCCCATGGTTGCTGAGGGTGACTGCTAAAGATAATGTATCACGCAAGGGCAAGAACATGATAACAGAGCAAGATCCGATGGAGGGGCCCAACCGTCTGCCCCCAATGGCGTGTGCGCCCCCCCAGCCGGGGGCCTAGTAGCCGCCAATAATGAACGACTGCCAAGTACTCTGTTTCGCAGGACGCAACGCAGGAACACCAACCGCAAGAAGCAGAGAGCTTTTCTACAACAAGAACGCAGACTTCAAAGTGAGATGAACAACTTGCTCACCCCTATTTCTGAGGGGCATATTTATGATCCAGACCTGAAAGACAGTTTTGATAGCTTACCCACCATGGATGAAGAACCAGGGTTTGTGATAGAGAAGAACACACTTTCAATTTAAGATGTTTTGTGCCAGGGTTGCCCGACATGCAATGTTGAAATAACGGCTGGGACATCAGCCGCAGGCGTGTTTGTAGAATGCCCGAATTGCAATGTTCAGCATCTACAACATTTTAGTACATTGGAAGGGTATACTTCAAGCACCAACGAGTGTCAGACTTTGGATTTCATGATGGATGAACCATATGTACCACTGGGGACGGATCAGTATGTACCATGGAGCCCAGGGTCATACATCCCACTAGAGGCCGAGTCTCATGCTCCAAATCAACCAGCACCAGTTTGGGTTCCCGCCGATGCTCGAAGGAAGGAACGCCCGCGACAGCTGACAACCCCTGGCATGGTAGAATACTACAAGATAAGTAAAGTAAATAAAAGAGAATTTGAGTTTTATGAAGAAGTTTAGGGAAAGTTCGTCAACATATTATAACGCCTGGAGCTGTACACCAGGGTTTTCTCTGAGACTGATGAAAGAAGCATTATGGACTGTATCTTCGATTTAAGTGATAGAGGCTGAGCGAGCCTTCTCATGTAAAGGACATATTCGGAGCCAAACAAATGGATGAGAGGGAAGGGAAGAATCACCATCCAGTGTGACTGTTGTTATAACTTCACGAATGACGGACAAGAGAATCCGCCTAGGATTCTCAGACATGATCAAGTAGATCCGCTACTGCCAATGATAAAATGGATGATCAAAAGAATGGTCAAATGGATTATTCTACCTTCTCACTGCATTCCCAACAGTTGCATTATCAATATTTATGAAGAGGGTGATTGCATTCCCCCACACATTGATCATCATGATTTTGTGAGGGCCTTCTGCACGGTCTCATTTCTAAGCAAAAACAATATTCTATTTGGGAAGCAAATCAAAATCGTCGGCCCTGCTGAATTCAGAGATTCTGTGGAGATTCCTCTACCAGTCAATTCAGTGCTCGTTCTTAAAGGCAACGGTGCAGACGTTGCCAAATATTGCATTCCAGGAGTACGACACCGTAGGGTGTCTGTGACTTTCTGTAAGATGGATGATAATAAAATGCCATATGGATTCCAGCAGGACCTAAAATTGGAGGAGTTACTTCTATACGAGCTGTGAGAAGGTTGTACCTCTAAGTACATGTGAAGGGAACTCTTATCTTGGAGCATGACTTAGAGGTCTGCTTGATCAGGAGCTCAACATACCTGGCACAAAGGGTTCACTTTCTTTCTTTTAACAACATGACATGTATCTGATGTATTCAGTCTACAATGTATTCATAGCATGAGATATTCTCGATGTATTTTGACATGGACTACATAAACATAACCATAGGACTTTGAGGTTTCTTGCTTATGCAACGTAAATCCTCACCTTATATTTAGGCTTTTGTATAGCCCTGCTATACAATATAAGCCCTAACTCGTCTTAGGATTCCGAGGTTGTTGTTTGTCATGAACTAAATCCTCACATCTTCCAGGCTATTTGTGTGATAGTTTCACACGAATGTAAGCCCTAAATAATAAAATTAGCAGGATGAAATATTTAAATATTTCTCCTTAAAATTGAAGCCAAACATTAGGATAGCTTGGGAAGTCACTGAGATTTGCCTCTGGATCCATAATAACCCCTAGTTCTTCCTCCTTTTGACTCTACAACGAAATGTTACAAATTTGAAACAATCCCCTTTCACACCTCTACGTCCAATCTCATTGAAAAGTCCTACCCTTTGAAACTCCTTGAAGATAATATTTCCTGATTTTTATCGAGAGTCTTCTTAGATGACTTTGGTCATTTAAGATGTAATTAACTATAGGGGCTTAAACTTATAGGAAGCATGTCCGAACCCGGCTTAATATAAACCACATTTTGATTCTTTATATTAAATAGGGGAACTTGTTGGCAAATTTAAATGTTTTGCAGACCGAACGAATGTCATATATTCCTTAGTTTATTTGATCGAGTATCATCCTCAAGTCTTGTGTTTATCCTTCGGGTTATCCTTCGGGATAGATATTAGAGTTTGAGGTACATCGCTCTTTCATTTAAACTATGAAAAATATGGGGTCGGTTTGATTTCATAATTTTTTAAAACTAAATATATATGTAAATTAAAACATCCTTCTGAAGCGGGCGACGGGATTTCGATTCCGGTGACCGATAACTTCTTACGGACACCAACCTAAAATAGCGCCGACAGTAATCTAGGATTTCTAATTGTTTCCTAGTACAAAGGGTAGGATGACACACAATAACTCAGTTCAATAGATATATTGTCATTAGAAAATTACAACTTAGATAGGATATTCAAATCATCCTTAGAAACGATGCATGGTTAAGCCACACTTAACTGTAATATGGTTTCCAACTCTTCTTAGAACCTAAATAAAGGCTAAAAATATTATTATCCTTGGTTAGCAACTATCACATAAGGGAATTCATAGAAAAAATGACAAGAAACCAATAAAATCGAGTCACTGTGGCATGACCTTACTTCTTCTAAAGGATGCTAAAGTTCTTCTCGTCTTCTGTGAAACTTTTCTTGTTTCCTTTTATGTTAGCAGTTTCTTTAAGGATTGTTAGACTTTCATTTCTGCAATTAAGTTGACCTTACATCAGGTGTAGTAATTTACTAAACTAGAGCTTCCCTGATCAAAAACCTTTTAGAATAATTTTTTGTGGGATTGAAGAGTAGACTAGTTTTCGTATATTACTTGATCCACGTGTATACTGGCGTGGATGACCTACTTGCTTGCAACAATTTCGGACATCAGATAGCTATTCCAAAATATATATTTGGTATCTAGTGGGCAAGTAGGTAACTTTGGATTGCACATTATTGAAACCTATATTTCTCTTATTCAGCAACAAACTTTATATGAAACTTCAAATCCTATGGTCATAGTACAATTTATTCAATTAAAACATACATATCATTAAAAAATGTTTTAAAAATAGTAACAGCAATGCTTTGTTTAAGAAAATAAAATAAATCTTAAAGCTATATTAAAACTTCTCTAAACTACGCCGTATTGGGAGTCACATGACTGTTGTCGTGTGCGACGGTTACTTCATTCGGTTTTTGTTGTGTGCGGGTGTTGTCTCGTGTGACAATTGTGGCGTATTTAATGCCCACACTCCGTGTCAGTCTCTTGGGGCTACTGCAGCAGTAAAGGATGATGTGGAGTGTCGGCGAGGAATGTGGGAAGGTGGTGGAAGGGTTGAAAGACAAACTACAGTAAAACAGTGAATAACTGTTTTCAGCCTAGGAAGGAAGAAACAACGGAGACGCGACGCAGATGTGTGACTAGCGGGTATGTAGCGAGGTGGTTGTAACTGCTAGGGGGCATTATATATATATATATATATACA